GCCATGCATTAGACTTCATTAAACATCGTTTGGAGGTGTTTGAATGCATATTTGGCCTTTGCAATGATTCGCGGTGGCCTACCGATGTATCGAGCCAGTGCTGCTGTCCTCCCAGACAAGTCTGGTACCAATTTTCCGACCCCGGAGCGATGGAAGGCTTGGTGGGCCATGGGCCCGGGGATCGAGTCCACGTGTGTGTAGCAGTGGCGCCTCCAACCACTGCGCAACATGCGCCCTACGTGTTATATCAAAAACTAGGCACAGTAAAATAAACAGGCCCCATTCTCCTAGCACGCAGCGTTGAATAGGAAGAGTACGAAGAAGTTGCTAAAATCTCAAGCCCATTCTAGGCCGACTAAATGGCAAATGGCTACGATATGCATCTACAGTGCGCGCTCACTTGCACCTGAGTCCTCGAAAGATGACATGATTATACAGGAAAGAAGGATGGGGTACGACGTCATCAGAATGGCCGAAACAAGAAGACGCCGACCATTCAACGCCGTCTGTGACACCGGAGAAAAATTGTTCTTAGTCGTCTATGCACCAACATCAAGCTATCACGAGGATGAAGTCGAAGCGTACTATATGGACTTGGGGAATTTCCACAGGAAAGACCATACATTCTTTAGGGTCATCACTGGAGATTTTGACCCTAATGCTGGACCCAGAAGACCTGAAGTGTGTCACATTGGGACCCACGGGTGAGAATGGAACCAGCAGGTAAAGCGGCTCTCTGAGTTAACCATAACGGCCATGACCATTCATGATAACTCACAATTCCAGAAGCTATACTCTCAATGCTGGATGTGGGAGCCTGTCAATGGAGAGTACCATAACAAAATAGTCTACATAATAGTAAATAGAAGGTTTTACCTAACCAATGTCGCTGTTTACCAAAAACTCTACAAGGGAACAGATTATCGACTCCTTCTTGTAAAATTTCATTTCTTGCGAAAAGGAGGAAAATCCGCTGAATTCAAGAAACGAAATCGCAAAGCCATCATAAACCGGGATCTATTCAGTCCATTAATCGGCTGTTGGGAAGACGTCATTTTTCATAACTTCGACGAGAAATGCGATCACGCCATTCAACATCTTTACGTTAGCGCTATGAAAGGTAAGAGTTCGAAGGTCATTAAGAGACGTCTGTCTTCAGAAACACTCGAGCTGATACGCCAGCGTGGAATCGCATAAAACACAGGCAATACCGTCTCGTCTGAATTACGTACTGCCACCGTCGAGAATGTCATGCGAACACTGGAATGGGTCAACATGGAAATGGAAATCGATGGTCAGCATTGCTACACCACCTTCCCTTTGCCGATGGCATCGTTCTTATAACACCAAGCATTAGCCAAGTGGAACGAATGCTTTCCAACTTTGATAAATCCTGTGGGAAGATTGGTCTTCGAATAACTCTCAGAAAAAGTTCATGAAGAACGAAACGGTTACGTATGTCCCATTCATGCTCAACGAAATGAATATCTCGGAATGCTGCAGTTCTCTATTTAAGTCGTGAAATCAACATGATGAACGATTTAGCTCCAGTGATGAGCAGGAGAAAACGAACGGCTTGGGGAGCTTTCAAGAGCATCGACGATGTACTGAAGCGAACAAAGAACACCAGACTCCTCACCCACCTTTCAACTCCATGCTCTTCCTGCCTTGACATATGCGTCAAAAGCCTGGTCCCTGCGTAAGCAGGATGGAAGATCACTCAGCGTTATTGAAGGCACAGTAGGAAGGGCGGCGCTAGGAGCATCTCGAACCCCTCGAGTGAGGGATTCGAAGTTCCGACCATCGTCAACGATCAAAAACCAAAGACGCCGTTCTATTTACGTTTTCCGACATGAGGTGGACCGGACACGTAATGCGTATGAATGGCAACCGATCTGTTAGCGAATAGATTCCTCGAAATATTGTCAGACGAACAGTTTGTAGACCACCAAACCGATGGCCAGAGTTCTTCACGAAAACCTTTGAAGAAAGATATGATGCTTGAGATAGTTGAACTGCCAAAAATCATAAAGCCATGTTTGCCAGCGGAAAAGTAATCACCCTCCAGGTCTCATTTCCGGCATAACAAAATGTTCCGGTGATAACGACATCAAAAAAAACGAACCATTCTATCTGTTCACAAAAGGAGCATTCACGCAATGAAATAACTATGTCTGCCTTAGATATGAGGGAATATTATCGTCGAAATCAATCAGTGGTACAGAGAAAAAACGACCTTAATACCTTTAATTAACCTTTTCTCGAGTACTCATTTTCCAAAATTTGTAAAACACTATGGTAGCTGCACTTCATAGGCGAAGTGGATGACGAATACAGTGCTCATATGCCAAGTGATTGGAACTTCTGCCTAAAACGATGGATGTATCCTCAGAGCGAATAAAACCCGCTGGGCTACTCTTACATGCGACAGGGAAAAATGGAAGATTTGCTGGCACGCGCTCGAGTCATTCGACAATCAGCAGGACGACTAGTGATACAGATGATACTAGTAACACTGACTTTGTTGTGTACAACTAGCACTCTCTCTATAATTGAAGATGCAGCTCAATCTCAGTGATGTCCGATCTACTTAATCAGGGAAGGCATCTCAATATAGTAGTAGGTCGAGAATATGGAGATGTTGTGAAGAATGTGGAAAGACAATATCAAACCATTGTGATTGCAAAACACGCTAAGCATCTTGGTACGGGATATCAACGTTGTAGGAAGCACTAGTTAAGAATGTTTTTAAAGTTTGCACGAAATTCCTTGGTAGGAAGTTCTATGTAGAGTGCAAACTCTAGGTAGCACCTGTAATTGTACGTATCCTCGAATTTTAAATTGTAGGTGAATAACATATAATGCAGGAAGGTGATTTTTACGAAACACTTAAGGACCGACGTGAGTTAATTCCCCCCACACGGCGCGAAAATAAATACCCGTTTCAATTTTAAGTTAAGTCAACATATCTCAGCTCAGAGTGAGCTTCATTAGTTGCATTAAAAATATGAGCTTCCAGAAATCGTTGGCTCACGGATAAAAGTCCTTTCGTGTCACGCGGAGAAAAGCCACTTTTTCTAGAGCGGACCAGACGTTGTTTGTGCACTTTTATCGTCGAGCCTCATACTTTGCGAATGAAAGCAATTGAACAAGCACTCTTTGCTTCATTCAAACAAGATGGTGTACCGGAATTCGTTTTGATGTCTGTGGCAGCCGGGATCTCGTTTCTGTTTTTTTCCAAAAACTCTTTTACTAACGAACTTTAGAAACCGCATAACTTCAGAATTAAATTACTTTTTTAAGAATCATACTTACTAGTTATCGGAAAGCTATCAGCATTTCACGAAAAACCAGCTTCAGTTTCTAAGTGTGAAGTAGTTGAGATGCTAACAGATTCATAGAACAAAATTCGCTCTATCACCTTTATCGTACACATTTTCAAAGGGTATTTATTGGCGGATAATTGGCAGAGTGGTTAGAGGCGCCCTGCAATGCAAATGGGATCGATACCACGCTCTCCATCTCTACGTGGTTCGCAAATTGGTACCAGACTTGTCTGGGAGGATAACAGCACTGCTCGATACATCGGTAGGCCAGCGCGAATAGTTGTAAAAGCCAGATGTGCATTCAGTCGAATGTATGGAGCATCCTTCAAGGATTGGCTAACGCCTAGAGCCTTATTCTTTTTTTATCCATTTATGGTTAAATATCTTTCGACTTAAAACACCGAGGATATTGAGGACGAAATTTATATTATTAAACACTTCAGTGTCAGAGCGGTGGTAGCAGAAATCCACGATACGCTGGAAAGCATTATCGGGTCCTGTTGAACAAAATCCTGCTCTTCCAGCTAATCTCACGTTCGAAATACGAGCCTTGAAGGAAGTGGAAAACATAAGTATCATGCTTCCAGAGACTCAAACATACGTCTCAGTAGTGTAAGGTAGTTTGCAACTGGTAAGCAAAGATTTTCCGTCAACTGCTTTTCCACCAAATGCATTGTCTCAATTCATGGCGGTTGTTATGTGTCCATATTATGGCGTTGCTGAGCAGAGCTTGATAACTCTGCATCACACTGACAATTCGCTTGCATTAGGCGATACTTTCCTCTCTAGATGGCGAGAAAGACACCACCAAAGAGTCAGCATAGATTGGATTTCCACCAGTAATTCACGTTTAAATGTAAACCTTTTAACCACAATGATGCTCAGATATTGGTAAACTCCGAACCGCAGGTGTCTGCGGTAAGGAACGAACGCCCTATTACGCTTTCGGGGGCTAACGCGTTCACCACCACCCCATGTGGGCTCTTCGTTTCGCCTGTCTCTCAGTTAACCTTTTATTTGTTGTCTACTATAATTTTTCGCAGCAAGGTACGATGCGAGATACAACCACAACGATGCTGAGATAACAGAAGACCAACTTTCTATAAACCTCAACAAAGATAGTAGACAGGTAGGAAAGAACTGGTCGATCCCACGTCCTTACCATAAATACTGAATGATTCATGTGGTTCGAAGGCAGATTTTCCATGTTGTCACTGGACACACTGTTGTCACTGTTACACCTAGTTCACCTGACGACGGTAATACCCTGTTGTTTTACTACTAACTGGTCTCCTAGATAGAAATCACGGACACCTCAGCTTAGATGGGCTTGCATTGTGGATCAACACCCTATTACACTCACGTGCGCACCCTTCCCAAACAACACTAAAGAATATCCTCACAAGGCGGTGAAACGTTTCTGGATAGACATGATCTAAGGTTAAAGGTCGACATACGATATGCCAACATCTTATTTCTGTGAAACAAAAAGACATGAAGACAATGAAAGAATGTTATTTTTCATGTAAGGTGAGAACAAAATGCTTACTGTTGAACTAACAACAAAAATAACAACTAAAAAAACTAAAACCTTGGGAATTTTTGGGCAAGAACCGCAAGAATTTGGGCGAAAGCAAGGAAAATGTATAAAAAACAAGCAGGGTCAGGATAAAGTTATTTGATTTGTTTACTAAGATTGTCGATCTGATCAGTCGCTGTTTTTGGGTCATGCTTATGAAGTAAAAAGTGTCCTTGAAGATCTGCGGGTGAAAGCTCACAACCTACTGACATCACACGTCGAACAAATTCGTTGCAAGAAGGATCCGAATCAGATAGACCATAAAATCGCATGAACATCTGGAAAAGATTGGCAAAGTAGCAAAGTCCAGTCCTCAACTAAGTAAAAAAAGGACGAACATATTTGTTGGAGTGCACTGAAGTTTACCTTCATTGCCATTTCGTTGGTTACATATCCAAAATACTGTTTCTTATCGACACGTCCAGGACGAATCAAAGCTTTATCCAGGCGATCAACATGATTGGTAGTCATGAACAACACTCTTTCCTCAGCACATCCAACACCATCTATAGCATTCAAGAGACCAGAAAATGTTACCCTGGAATGCTTTTCTGGAAAAGCGACAAATAAAAAAAAACGAACAAAAACTAAAACCTCGTCATTCCCTCATAAGCCGGGTGATTACTCATAGGATCATCTCTACTTGTGAACGCAGCATCAATATCTTCCAAGACTACGACACTATTGGGGGGAGTAGTATTGAGGAGGTGATTTAACCTGAAAATTTTAAAATTAATGCCAATTCGCTTAGATATACTTCAGATTCACGAAGTCTATTGAGAGTACAATGATGAGCAGACCTGTCATCATCAAGAGTTCGTTCACTCAGTGACAGCATGCATATGCTGTACCCAAAATGACTTGCTATAGCGGATATGAAACTACTTTTGCCAGTCCCCGGCGGTCCATAGAATAAATACCCACGTCTGTAGGGAACACCTCGGTCAGAGTACCTTAGGCATAAATGTATTAAACATAAGTATATAAGTGAACACAAGTAAAAGGATAAAAGGATAAAGCTTTCGGCGTTGATCTATCCCTCAGGAATGCGCCATACATCAGATTGTACTAAGCATCGTTTGAAGGTGATTGAACGCATATCTGGCCTTCAGAACGACTCGCAGTGGCCCACTGATGTGTCGAGCCAGTGCTGCTATCCTCCCAGACAAGTCCGGTGGCAACTCGCCGACCCCGGAGGGATGAAAGACTTGGTGAGCTTGAGCCGCTATATTAATCCCATGTGTATTACATGGTGCCTTCGAGCACTGCACCACACGCGTCTAACACAAGTATTTATGTAAAATTTGGCCTAATTCATAGGATTGCGACAAACGAGAAAAACAAGTTAGGTGTTTTCTTATGAACTCACCATTGTGAAGACTTTGAAAATTCCTGAAAATCATCTACAAGCTCCTTTGCAGTATTTCCATCAAGGACTACGGAACTAATATCTCTTTTACGCCTTGGGGCGCCGAATCGAGACCACTGAGGACCAATCGCTTGATAAACGACCAAGCCCGTTTCCGCCTGAACACCATGTTGCTAACTTGATCTTCTATTGTGAAAAATGTCATTACGAACCTTGGAGACGGCTTCATATGATGCTTCTTCGAGAAGGTTTTTAAGAAACGATGTGTCGGTGCCTAGCGTCGTCAATGTCACTGTCTCGAAAGGAGTTCGATACCCGTTCTTCTGAATGGTTTGCTTTTCTCGCTGTCGCTCTACTTTGATCCATCTACAACTTTGCAGCGTAGATTTGGAAAGGTTTGCAGCACCGTCAATATACCAATCACACAGAAAACAATGAAAAACCACTCTACAACCACTTACCTGTACCTATGGGTAAAAAAGTGCTCGCCGTGGCCTGGTAAATATGCTATTTTCATACTGGCCTTTCCACTTTCTGATAGCGACACGGCAGTGTTCACGGAAAGATTCCTTGTCTGCGTAGTGCTTTTTCTATTAATGAAGTCTAACAGCCAAGGGTACGCACTGAAGGAGCCAATGTGATGCCAAAGAATATTAGGAATTAAGCAAATACTTACGCATCCTCGTTGTTAATCTGGAGGGAAATCATAAATCTTCGGCGGAAAAACGCATTCCCAATGACGGCACCACGACGTAGCACACCCAATGCGAAGCCTCAACAGAACATGGTAAAGAAACCCTCAAAGTCCTTCTGCGCCCAAACCTACCACTTGCAATCAACACTTTACACCCTGTTCGATACTGTTTCCATATGCTGAACTACTGTTAGGCAATGTGTGTGACCTCAGCACATATTATGAGCTAACATTCAGCTCATTCACTTCACCACATCATGCTCCTCTGCGGCGTGTGTGGCGCAGTGGTTGGGGCGCCCTGCAATACACAATGGACCGATCCCCTCGTCCAAGGCCCACCAAGCTCTCCATCCCTCCGGGGTTGGCAAATTGATACGAGGCTAGTCTGAGAGGATAGCAGCACTGGCTCGATACATCGGTAGGCCACTGCGAATCATTGTAAAGGCTAGATATGCATTCAATCGCCTCCAAAGATGCCTCATGAAGTCGAATGCATGGTACACCCCTCAGGGATCGATCAACGCCAAGAGATTCACCCTTTATCTTTTATATTATGCTACTTATGACACAACGGCGGAAGAAATGCGATGTACAATGTTGTGTAGGGTACAACCCATGCCTATACGTGTCATTCAACTTCGCATCTAATAAACAAGTACAAGTTGAAAACCAATAAACGAACCTATTCCAACCAAGCCAGCGCCTGCATTGAAGTACGGATTTTCTTTCAATGAATCGACTAAATTCTTGTGTAGTGGAATGTGTTCATGAGGTGTGGAGACTTTGAACTCGCCCAAACGTATATCCGTCGATGCCATATCTGCAAATTAAGATGTAGCCAAAAGTTGACACAAAAGGCGAAACCGTAACCATCGATACGAAATTGTCGCACTCTAACTGATGAGCCTCCCAACGACTTACTGCTTCATCGTGGCCGAGAGGTGTCCTTGGGTGTCCGGTTGCGATATAGAGCGAGGGATTCATCCACCCGGCACAGCCTTCCAAGCTGAATCCGGCGTTTCCATCAGGAAGCCTAGCTAGGACTAAACCAATACCAGGATCCATTACCGTCATGGTATCAAACTGGTCGCATGGTGGCAAATCTCCCTGTGATACACAACGGCAGGGACTGTGTGCGGTGGTGACGACCTGGGGTGAACTTTGGCCTGGCTAACTTTGGAACTCCAGGGAACCAGAACGGCTAAATCAGCAAGACTCCAAAAAAAATGGAAATGCTGGGGCCCGCACAAACAGTGAGGATGGGCCATCCAAATATCCAAGCAACTGATGGCTACCTTAATGGCCCTACGCATTAGCGCATTAATTATGCTATGCAGTACGTCGTTCTTCTCTATAAGGCCTGCCAAATAGACAGTGAGTTCAACATTTCCATTTTGAAACTGGGCCAAAGTGAATATTCGGCGATGGGCGTTGCCATGATGCCAGAAAGTTCTGAGTAATGCAATGCTGGCTCCTCCAATCCACATAGCTTCCGGCCATCTGTGCTCACAATGTAAGATGAACACCTTGAAACTAAGAGAAAAAAGTTCCTTAATCGGAAAAACATCAAGCGGAAATTATGCCGGGATTCCACGATTCGTGACGGCGAACCATCTAAACAAACAGTAGTTTATAAACACATCAACATCGGATTTCTTAGTATAATTAACATGACCCCACAACCAGAGACAACCTTGTATGCATTCCCTGTGTGTTCAATAAACGTGGAGGATAATATAAAGAGGACATGAGGCAGAAGAATGAAAGCACCATGAGACGTATCGTGGCCACTTACGGAAGCCACCGACCGACTAACGGAACAGAGGCTCCGAGCCCAACCTTGCGATCAAATGGTCTTCCCATTGCTTTGTTATGCGAAATGGACATGTGCTGATACTTCAACCACCTCGAGAATTCTACACACCACCTGCATAGCGCCCGAACGATGTCTTTCGAAATACAGTCGGCACATCTTGTAATAGTTCCCAGGATCGACTTTCTATTAACCTCGGAATTGGAATATGAATGTGTTGTTTTCTTGTTCAGCGATCGCGATTGCTGAACATGAAAACGACACAGTCGGCACACACAGCATTTAGACGGAATACGAAGTTCAAGACTTCGAAGTCTAGCCCCTCTTCGAGATCGAGAAGAGCGCATTTCGACAGCGAAGCACAGATGTGCCGGTCATGTAGTGAAAAGAATAAGTGACAAATGGGCAGAAAGAGCAGTGGAGTGAACTCAAGGATCTGGGACGAACATTCGAGCAAGCATCCAGTTCAAATCTCATAACGGTCTTCTGTTCTTTGGATGGAAGAGGTATTCTTTGGTCCTCCGATATTTCATCGCGATGTGCTACTACGACTTGCAACTGTGAAGTAGTCTGCCTCCTCCTCTACTATGACTTATAAAAGCGAAGTAAGAAGAAAAGAATGTCCCTTGCTTACCATTTTGATTGCAGTTAATTCGAGTTTGAGTGTGCACATGGTACATTGGTAGTGTTGCCGCTTAATATGCACCGTAAGGCACTGGTTCGACCCCGCATCAGGCCAACCCACCTCAAAGTCGGGGAATTGGCACCAGACTAGTCCGAGAAGTTGCCCTGGATCCATAAGACTTAAGATCACACCGGCGCGTCTATCCCATCACTCTTGACAGAATCGACTCAACTAGCATTCAACAGCATAATGAGGACGAATTTGCTTAAGCAACAGCCGAACCCACACAAAAATCCGAACACCTGAATGGGTAACAAATAGCTGGCAATGAGTCGAATGCAGAAGGTTCTGGTAACCGCACACTATGTGACTTTCCGTCGTTTAGAAATAGAGAATTCTAATTAAGTAGTAAATTTGGAAGTTAGAGGTGATAGACTGTTCGTTGGGTCCAGTACAATGGTAGTCAACAAAACTAAAAACGTGGAGCTAGGCTCTAAGACCACTTAAATCAAAGTGGACCGATAACAAACCATGCCCAAGAAGCGCAGTAAGGTCAACGTAAGGTTAAAAGGACAAGGCGAAAAACTCCCAACAAATCATGCGAGGGAGACGGAAAACAGCGCGGAACGGCTGTCCGTCATTTACCGCGCTTCAATTGCTTTTTGCGTCCTACTCGGAATCGTTCAATCAGTTGCAGCACCTGTTTGAGGATGGAAGTTGTTTCCCTTGTGTTGCTGTTTTCGCTCATAGTGGGTTGCACATCTACTTCTTGTTTTTCCCTCGCTGTTGACTTCGTTGGTCTGGCATTTATTGCGATCTCAACGAAGGTAGTACTAAGTAGGCATCGTCGTATTCCTCGGTTTTGATTCCTTGTCGTAGTTCTCTAGAACATCTGTTGTCTCGTGTCCATGTGATACTTGTTTTTCAGGGTAGGCGAATGAGCTCACCCATTCCAAGAAGTGTCTGGATAGATCTATATAAACAGCTGAAAAGAGAGGCCGCTAAGGTTTGCAATACTTGACGCTGCATTGCTTACTAACAGCATATCTCTTCCAAGCTGAGGAGTTCGGCGTTTCCATCCGGAGCCCAGCTACTAGTGAACCCATACCAGTACTAGGATCCACCACAATCTTAGTATGAAATTAGTCGCGTAGTGACAAAGGTGGCAAATCTCTCTTTGATCCACAAGGATGGCGACTACCTGTGGTGGTGACGACCTGAGGCAGACTTTGGCCTGGCTGACCTCGGGACTCCAGGGTAACACATTGATTAAACCAGCAAATCTCCGAAAAAATGAAGATTTTACTGGGCCCGCTCAACCAGTGAGGACTGGCCATCCAAGCATCTAAGTAAGTAGTAGTAAGTAGTAAGTAATTGTCAATATAGTAATGGCTATCACTATAATAATCAATGAAGGGCTTGTAACGTAGCATCAGTGTAAATTGCTTAGTATATATAGCAGCTCTAAGAAATGGATAGCAGTGGTAGTGATGACGATCATCACGAGCGCGGTGCTGGTTCGAGACCCAGGTTCACCAAGCCTCTCATCCCACCGGAGTCGGGACGTTGGCGCCGGATTTCTTCGACCACTCTGTGCAATCCAGTTGGGAACGCTCCAGCCCGGCAATCTCAAGACTCCAGGGAAAGTCGACTCGAACAGCATTCTACGACATTTAAGGTGAAATGAAGATCCTTAAGCAGCATCTGAGGCCACACGTAAAGGTAGGAAGACCTTTGTGGATGACGTGAGGAAGCGGGTCCAATGTGAGCAGTGCCGGGATCCGCACACTGAACGTGAACACGGGTCGTATAAAAGTAAAAAAAAGTGTAGCAGCTCCATGAGGCCGTTGTAGTAACATGTGGCATGTAATAGCAGTACTGTAGCTCTTCCGTCGTGATTTCAGTTTCTCGCATTAGCCTTCTCATTCCAGTTTCCACAGTACAACTACCGCGAATTTGCGAAACGTCGAGTCCGTGAGTACTTCTTAGCGAATCGCAGTGTAGTAGACACCAACCGTCAGGAGGAGCTTCTAAAGGTCGTTTTACTTGTTTCCTTAGAAGTTTCTTTGAGTTGCTCTTCAAAAAATCTGATAAAGGCTGTTAGAGTCTCAGCCATGTTCAGTTTCAGGAGGGCAAGGAGGCTCTAGAAGGAATTCGTCGACAAGTCGTTTTGTGTGGGCTTTTTCCTCACAAGAAAACAGTGGTTGAGAAGTAAAAAAGAGCTTATAGTCTATCAATAGGTGCGTGATACCAGTAATAACTACGTATTATATCTTTCTATCATCTTCCATTCTGTTTATTGAGTTGTAATTTATGGTGAATGCATTCTGCTGTTATCTCTGCTATCTCTCTGTTATGACGCTACCTCTTTAGGTGATAAGTCGCAGTTCAGAAAAAATAAAACGGGATATGTCCAACATGGTGTGATTATATCCCTTCGAAAAGGCTACATTCCATGATGAATTCTCCTCATACATTCATTCTGTATCATTCGCTCACTGAATAGTTGGCGCCGCCTCTTCTAATTTCTTTCTTTCTCTTTCTCTGTTTTTCTTTCCCCACCCCTCTCTCTCTTTCTATCTGTTCATTGCATCAGTTACCTTTCATTTTAACCATTGTCAGTTCTTCCTTCCGATCATTGTTTTGTGACGAACTGATTTGCTCGTATTTAGGCATATGTTGGTGCAAGATGAGAGAATGTGGGAAATGCAAATCCAGTGAGTACACTAATAAAAATCTAGTGATGATGGTCAACGAATGTGGGCATCCGTTGTGCAGGTACAATAAAATCTCTGCCAAACCTGCTTATTTATCATCTAACTGTTGTCGGTCTAGAAATTGTGTCGATAATCTTTTTGCTCGAAACACTGCTCCATGTCATGTCTGTGGCAAAACTTTGCGTCGCAACAATTTTTGGGAGCAAGTGTTCGATGATCCTTTGATAGAGAAAGAAGCTCACATTCGCCGACGTCTGAGAAAGGTGATGATGAAGATCGAATTACTGATGAAGTTCACTCCAATTAAAACAGCTCTAGTTTAAGGGCACATAAAATATCTTCCATTGAATAATGTTTTCTATGGGGTACTTTCGTCTGTTTCGCTAAGTATTTTAAGTGCATGGGTGGGTAAATGTAACTTTAAGATTAAAGCGGTCGGTGTTGATCAGTCTTTTAGGGATGCACTTTATGTTGGAGCCCTTGAGTTATGGAGGCGATGGAATGAACATTTGACTCATACAGTGGCTTTCTACGGTTTAGAGGTGTAACGAATTAGTATTTAGTGCTCCTAGCCTACTATTAATCTAGCAGTCCCGGGTGGATGGAGTGTTCGGTTTGCGTTGAGCATGAAATCGAGCCAACGACTACGTGTGCATTTCAAGACGCCTCTAGCCGCTGTCCTGCGCTCACCTCGGTTTTAAAGATGGAACTTGAAGTGGTGGAGTATTTTCCGTACTTATATTAGAAATCTAAAGCATAGCCTCATTTCGGAGAAGGTTAGAGGCTTGTTCGATGCGTATTGGTAGTTTTCTGGTATACAAAAAAGTGATCACATTTTATTTTTGTCCATCACATGAGGACTCAATGCGCTTCATTAACCATGGCAAGATGGCTATGTTACTCAAAATATGTACCTAAAAGCTACGGAAACTTCACTGTGCTAATTGGGGATATTTCTGTACAATGATGTTTCGTGTAAACCTATCTACTTAATCCATATCTGTTGTCTTTCAGATATACAACCTGAAAAAAGACGACTTTCCTTCTCTTCGAGAATTCAACGATTATTTAGAAAGGTGATTTTCGAACCTCTATATTTTTTGTTTTACGTGCTCTAGTACCACGTTTGCCGTTGGTCGTGGATTGATTTGAGCGGCCGCTTGGAAAGTCACTCATTTGCAACTTTCATGAGCAAGAGTAACCTAGTGGATTCTTTTCACTTTAGGAACGCGAAGAACATCATTCCTTCCCACCATCTTCGTGCGGTTGCATTAGACGATATTGTTAATGTTGTAGTCTTCTTTTTTGTGCAACAATAAGCTCTTGCTGGTTTTCCATTGATTAAGAGCGTTCTCACAGACAACGTTTGTAAATCCGAGCTAGTACTCTGAAGAGGTCCGGTGAAAGGCTTTTCAGGTGTTCGGATCTTATTCTCTTTGAGCCAAGTGTTCTTTAATTTTTCCTCGACGACTTTGTATGTGGGTATGCCGGAATTTGGAAAGTATAATCAATGGTGAAATATATCCATGCTTCTCAATTCAAAATGGGTTTGAAGCCGTATTTCTTGAAGAGCTCACAATAGCCGTAGATAATTTTCTGTACTGACTTTCCGAGACCGATAACTGTTCCTTATGGACATCAGAATGCAGTATTCTGAACGCTGTTAACCGAATGGTTCATCAACCATATTCGGCTTTAGTCGATGGGTCTTCCTCATTGGAAGGCACATAAAAAACGGCTCTGAAGAACGCGACACTGCCGAAACGTCAATTATTTTTGTGTTGTATGTATTTTTTGAACAAAAGTAAACGTGTGCTGCATAACAACCTCGTGATTGCTGAAAAAGGAAGCGCCATATTCGTTGCTTGGATTGCGAAGCTTTTTCTTCTTTCTGCAGAAAACAGGATCTTTCGCGGTGCTGGTTCGATCTCATGTAGAATTCGGGACAACATTGGCATCGGTTGAGCAAGACTTTGACTATAATGTGGTCTGTCTTACTGTTGTGTCCTCCATTTTGAGACTACCGCGTCTAGTGTTGTGAAGGGGGTTTTCGGCAGTTGTGTCACCATTGATGGCTTTCGTCATCATGATAAACTGAGCATCCGTCCACCTTGTTCACTCAAAACTGAGCAGCCGTCCACCCTGTTCTAATCTGTTGGCCCAAATGTGAAGTTCTTCGCAAATTTTTCTGAGTACATTCTTAGCGTTGAACTTACCAGCGATTACTTGTATTTGTATAAAGTATAGTTTCTCTGTAGAACTTCCGCGTGGCGACATCAAACGCTTAGATCTAATCTTCATCGTGGTTTGTTATAAGGTCATAGACGACGAGGATTCTGAAAGCTGGCGTTGGTCCACATCTTTTCACTTGTAGTAGTTCGATGCAAGCTAGTCGTTATTCAATGGAGCAAAGGTTCCCAGCCGAAATAATGTCGCCGAAGACGCCTGTACAGCCGATTTTTGCGTTATTACATATCGTGGCGGACAGGTCTTTTCCGATCTCGTAGATGACCTTAAATAGGTGGCATTTTCTTGTCTCAGCTCTTAGTATCATCAGATCATCGATAGAGAATTCAAGTATTGCTAAGGAGGCAATAAAAGCATAGTTCACACTTCTGTCCTACTAGATTTATGCACAGTATAATAGCCATGGTACTGTAGCAGTCTCTCCGTACTCATCCTTTGCAACGCTGCCGTGTGGGAGGCTCGTTCGAGCTCGCGTGTATGAGATCCCTCTATTTCAATGCGTTTGGCTTCTGATACGCTCGGCTAGGTTGCCGAGCTTTTAGCGTGGGTGCGTGACGTAGTCACGGGCAGATCGTCATTCTCGCAGAGCAAATCCCGTTACTTAATTGTAGGCTTCTACCCGAATGAACTTGTAGAGTGAAGCACGCGGACACTCCCACACAGTCATGCACAAACATATCTACGTAGAAACAGAACTCGCGTATCCAATTGGTGCAGTAGAAACAAGAAGTTCACCAGCTGGAACCAGCTGCGTATCATGGAGACTCAACGTCGTTTTCTGGTTCTCGTTAAATCTACTGTGTTCCATCTTGAGACGCGACCAGTATCATCGCCACTAACCATTTGCAGATTCTTCAATGAATAGATGGTGTATACACAACTATTCTCAATTTGATGTTAATTTACAATCTAATATGATGGAAGCTTCAAAGTATCAATTCTCCGTTCTTAAATATGTTCTTTTCTCTTGTGAATTAGTTTTCTTCAGCTTTAGTAGTTAGGAAATGTGCTCTTTAGGGCGTTATTGTGAGTGGACCATTGGAATTGTAGTCATATATGTAATTATAGCAAAATTGGCTATATAAATGGAAATATCTAGATTCGAAACTATTGTCTGCAACCTTGCATGCGGTGTGGACGTTGAAGAAACGGAGGCAGAGATTGCAGAGTTTAAAGAAGCTAATCAGGAGTTGATAGAGCGTAATAAGAAGAGGTTAGTTGGATAGTTTGACGCTTGTATGAGTGGAATGGAGTTTTATTGACATACGGGCATATTTGTTTTAAGGTTAGACGAAGATCAGATATGGATAATACAGAATCTCAAGGAAGATCGTGAAATGAAAAACCGTGTTGATTATGTTCACAATCAAGAACAGGTATGTGTATTCCATAAATGTGCCACTATTGTTTTCATTGCTGTGTTTTCTGAGATATTTGCAAAACTCCGGACCGTAGGTGTCTGCGGTGGCAAACGAACGCGTTATTCTCCTTTCCGGGGAGTAACGCGTTCAACACCACACCATGCGGGGCCTTCGTTTCGCCTGTCTCTCAGCTAGTTCCATTGAGCAGTGCCATCAGCATTCACCCGTCAACGGGATTGATCTGGGGAGCCCAAATCCGCAATAAACCCAGTTAGGTTGAGGCTGTAGTCTAAACCACAATGCTAACTTTTTATTTACTGCCTATTACTATTTTTCATGGCAGCATATTTTGTGTGTTACAACGATGCGTTTTCTATTTTCCATGCACTATTTTTAAAACGGAACCATGTAACATCAATTTTATCCGTATTGGGCGAATAGGTAGATTATGAGCTTTTTGCATCCGTACACTCATTCAGAATGAAGAAATGAGATCGGCAGTGAAAGACACCAAAGCAATTATGGAGGAGTTGCGTGAATCAAATGTTCCCGCTGAAGTAATCCTCGATAGAGAAAGAAAACGTCAAATTGAACAAGAATTAGAGGAAAAGGAGGAAGCTGCTAGAAGAAAGAAGCGAAATAAAGGTTTGCTGGATTTATATGACGTAATTTTGTATTAGAAGATTATAGGTAATATAGTAATGGATGAAATCTACTTTTACCAAGTCTTCACTTAGAAATCTTGCAAGATCGAAAGCGCATGGCAGAGTCAATGTCCTTCTCAACTTCACAACGGTCATCAGGAAGAACATTTGTGTACAAACAACCTAGACTGCTTATCAATGGACCCGGTCTTCCAAGTCAAGAAGAACTTGAGTCGAAAGGGTACTTGCAGCATGTGCGCGCTTCTAGTTTGGTAAGGTGGTTCTTCTACCTTTTGCCAGCTTTTGGCAAGCACAGATTTATGTCAGTGTGTGCAACAGGATCAACACTGTTTATTGTTTGTAGAGTCGAATGGCTGGAGGATTTACAACTCACACTGGTTGTCTGCGAGCACTTTTCGAAAGCAGGATTGATCTCCTTAGTTTCTGAATATGTTCGGATCCGTATTTTTCGTGCCTCCTAGATCAGCAGTATACTGATGTTGATGTTTTGTTTATCTAACTAATAAAACTCACAAGAATAATAGATTCCATGTGTCCATAAAGATTACGAGAGCACTTTTAGAAAATCTGTGGAGCAGTTTTTGTTTACGTCAATATTTCTCGAGCAGTTGGTTACGTAAATCGACCGCGTTTGAATGTGATATATTTTACTATAAGGAACATGGTTTAGGTGGTATGGAGGCAGTAGATTTATCACTTGCTTATCGGAATATTTCACTGTTCTACAGTGGTGTTAACAATGATGAAGCGGCAGGATGGCTCAATTGTATGCAAAATTCTGTAAGTGTAGCTCTGGATTGTGACTACAGATGCTCCACTTTCATTTCTTCTCACAAAGAATTGACATTATGGCGCGGTAGCACATTACTTACCTGGATACTTGGAAGGCCATTCCTCACTGCTTGTGGGGGTCGCAGCATGTTCTCCACTTTTCGGAGTTTTGCTGGCGTAGCTGCTGTGTTTCCCTGGAGTCTGGAGGACAGCGTGGCCAAAGTCTGCCTCATGTCATCACCGGAGACAGTAGTCGCTGTTGTGAATCAGAGGGAGATTTCTCACCATGCGACCAGTTTGGTACCGGTATAGTGACGGATCCTGGTATTGGTTTAGAGACCCTGCTGAGGGTCTAAACCTTCCTGCTGTACTTTGCAGCTCGACACAGGAACATCTCCCAGCCACGATGAGGCGGTAAACCGTTGGGAGGGTAGCGCATTAAAGCGGGCATATGTGAAGTAGGTAGTACAGATCAGCATTATTTTAAAGAACCACATGAGATCAAATTGTTTTGTTGGATGGAACTTATCAAAGGGAAGGGTTCTAGCTAAACTTGGTTTCGAAAGCGAAATTGTTGCGGTTCACGTACTTGTCACTCTCACCTAAATATGTTGCCGTTGCATCCATATTTTAGGTAGAAGCTTGGTCGCTCTGTGATAGGATTTTGTGCGAACGACGTGATCCTCTAGCTTGTTGCTTTGCAGCTCAAACATTACGTCAAAAGATTATGAAGTCGTTGGGTGAATTGCCTAGAGGAAGCTATTTCTCATTACGGGAGTCTTTAATATCGCACCTGAGGTCTTTCGTAGTTTTTCGCGTTGTTTACGTTTATATTTGCTCGTTTACTAATCTGAATTTAGTTTCAGTCAAATTGATGTCTCTAGTCACGATCAGGTAGCAGATGCGACTGCAACGCAGTTATGCCTTGCTGTTGCCGACTTATACATTCAAGTTCCTGAGTGGAATAACTGGGTTACTGAGCTGCTCAATCGGTGCGTTCTATAGTCTTCTCTATTACCATTTTAACAGATTTAGTGCTTTTTCATTGGATGAATAAATAAAAAGAGTAAAGCTCTCGACGTTGGTTTTTTTTCCCTGACACATCCTCTACCAATTTCCCGACTCCGGAGGAATGAGAGGCTTGGTGACCCCGAAGAGGGATCGGACTTACACTGTGCTCGTGATGATCGGTATCACTACCACTGTGTTATCCGTTCCTTGGAGATGTTACTGAACCTGGTTAATTTAACAAGGAACTGAATGAACAACTAAACTGAAACTGGTAAGTCAGCACATTGATTGTTGTGCGCTTTAAGATAAGGGGATTCACAAATCGAATCTTCCTCTGTGCATTCGTTTTCTATACCTGCTGCAATGGAATCCAATAACAGTATATCCATAGGAAACTGTATTGAAAAGAGTAATGTTCATAAAATGAGATTTAACCCTTGCTGGGATATGCGAATTTGTTTCACTTGAACATACCCGGGACTATATTTGGTTTTTCTGTTTTATATAAATGTATCCCTTATCACGGTGGGTTAATTTATTGCTGTACAAAATATTAGGATCTGTAGATCTTCACCAATAGGTACAAGCTTTCTTATTTTGAAAAATTTGGTACTATACGTTTGTATAAAAACGACCAAGACAATTTTCGGATTGGTCATATTATTAGCTTCTGTTTTGCCTTTCAACCAGTCTTTTCATTGACTCCTGCAACTAAAGGCATTTAAAATAGCTTTTGTTTTGATTAAAACACGTCGAATTACGTCCGCCAAACAAGTGAATTTCTTTTGAGGTTCTCTGCACTAGAAGGAGATAGAACTCGCATGCTGCTAACTTTGCTACGGGTGTTCCCAGAAGAGGTTCAGCTTTCGAAAGTTGGAGAGAATCGTCGGAATGAAATTCGCAATGAGTTGGCATGTAGTGGAACAAGTGTTACAAGTTACTTGGTGAGTTATAAAGCAACGAGCCATCACACACTTTGTGTGTACTGGCTTTGTCAGAATTAGTTTCTGCAGCAATGTCTGTTCTGTCGGGCATTTTACAGGGTTGATTTTAATGCTTCTTCTGTTCTAAAAGAAGAATCTCCTTACAAACTTCCTTTCATTTGACTGATTCTTTTAGGATTTCCTTATTTCAGTCACAAGTATTGGAGAGTTACTCTAATGACCACGACATGATAAAAAAGGTCTTATTGTGTCTTTCCGCTTATCTACAGAATCCAGCCTTATCGACCGACCATCTGGCTACCAGCCCTCTCCTTACCAATGTCTTCCAAATTCTTGTGAGTACTTTGAAATAAGTACCTTTGTTTAGAACTTTATGTGTCTTATATGGGAACACTATTGAAGGCTGCTCCAAATGCGCCAAATCCCCTTCATGATGCCGCCACCGAATGCATTGTTTCGGCACTCATACGAGCCGAGGATCATGGAGCCCATCAGGCACTCGCAAAGTGTCTTCAGTCCTCTATTTATCATCTTCATGGAGCATTTAATAACGCAGTTGCTGTTGAAGATATGGACAAGCAAGTTGTTCAGAATTTGTTTTACTTTTATTACTATTATTACTATCAACAGATGAAAGTAAATGCTAATTGGCAGTCTTGTCTCATGTATCTGTTGCGTTTTTAGGCTGCAGAATTTCGCCCGTATCTTTGTCGAGCTTGCTGAGTCTTTGTTAGAAAAAATTGTTAATGAGGGAAGTGTTGATCCCAACAGCATGGGTAGTATGTACACGCTTGAACTTCTCCTTTTACTGGCAGGACATCACGACTACTCGGTAATGCCAATACATTTGCACAGTTATAGCACAGAGTCAACAATCATGTCACTCGTTTTAAATTCATACTTAACGTCATAGAGTCGTTTGTCAAATCAGGCATTATTTTTTGTTTTTGTTTTTATGTGACCCGTCTTCACGTCTACTGTGCAGATCAGAGCACGTCTCACATTCGATTCGTTTCCTCGCATCCATTATCCACGAAAATTTTCCAACTTTTACGCATAGCTTTGGGTACTACTTGAGGATTTTCATTTCATTTTTAAAGTTGATGAATACTAGTCGAGTAATTCTCCGTAGAGTACTGACATAGTCGGGCTGGAGTGTTACTAAAATGGGATTGAAAACAGTGATTTTTTCCCAGACAAGTCTGGTACCAATTTCCGACCCCGGAGGGTTGAGAGACTTGGTTGACCCGGAGCGGAAACAAACTAGCACGATGTTCGTGGTGAACCAGTTCATATACGCTGTTATAATATAACGCTAACAATCTTACCACTCGTTTTAAGTTTATGCTTAACCTCATAGGGTCGTTTGTCAGTTCAAACATCACATCAATATCAATGCATAATAACTTTACGTTAACAATCTGGTAGATGTGCAGATATGAGAAGTTACGCTAGTTTGGTTCGAAAAGTTCATTAACCCATTTTTGTACGTCGTTGAAATGCTCACTGGACAAGGCCTGTTGCTTTGAGATGTACAGCAAATAATAAAATTGGCAAGATTTCGTGTTTACTCTGGGTTTAATAAATGTTTCCATGTAGTCTCCATTCTCCATAATTTTTTAAAATTTCTCGTGATGGGATAAGAGCTATCATGCTGGGAAGCGGACTTGGCGTAGATTTCTGTCGTTTCCCTTTAAAATTTCAATTTTTGTGAGCTGTGCGTTGAATAGAAGACCGTTCGGTGTGGTGGAATGCATGCCAATTTGCTAAACTTCTCGATCTAGACACTCGACTTTAGAGACTTATGTGTAGACTACAGCTGTATGCCATTTCAGTGATGACTTTGAAGTTTTCAGTTGGTCGAAATGACTTTCAACATTTGGTATCGGATTTCGGAAGGCCTGTTCAGTTTCGAAGATGACCAGCACATAGAGAAATTTAAGCCTTATGTAATAAGGTAGGCTTTCATGTTATGGTTTCAACTATACTTATTAGGTTTGATCGTCATATTTTCTTTCAAGGTACTTGGATGCCCTCTATCGTCATTGCCGTTATGATACCGAAGAGGAGGGGATCCCAGACCGTGATGGTGACTTTGCCGACTTTCGTCTCAAGGTCTGGTTGTTCTTGCACGACGTCGAAACTCATCAAAATTTTTCTAGCGATGATTCATCCTTATAGAATTTAACCTTTTCTTGTAATTTCTACTCTTAACACATGTCTGTTTTATGTGGTCGAAACTGTACGTGATGTCGTTTTCGTTGTTGGGACCGAAGCATGCGTCAGGAACGTTGGTTTTTTCTTCAGAATTTCATTTTTTTTATTAACAGTGCTTTGCGTTTTTTGTTATTTTCGAAATGTTTACATTTGAAGATGCACTCCATGTTGGTAGGCTGTAGTCAAAACGGTACATGGGACGAAACAGAAGCAGCTCTTTTTATAATCTCAACAGTTATTGGTAACATCGTTCCGTAAGTTGTACCAATTTGAGCCTTTCCACATGTGTATCCTGTAGTAATGTGATTCGAGCGGGCTCCAGTAAAATCTTCATTCGTCCCCATCTTACGCTGGCGTTGCCCAGTAGGTTACTCCGTTCCTTCGAGGTCCACAAGCAGCTTTCTGCCTCCTGTTTAGGTTCACATTAATGAGTTACGGTTATCCAATCGGTTATTTTCTTATTCTGGTCTTGACGGCTAGTGGAATCCACTCGCTGATACACTGTTAGCTTTTGTTTAAGTTATACATTTGTTGCACATAGTCCTCTAGATAGTGTTTTCATCTAGCTTATTAACACAGTATGTTGTAAGTTAGGGCGGAATGGAAGTCGAAAAGATGGGGTTTTTCCTTCTTTACCGTATTTTCAGAGCCCTAGGCTTCTCAGGCCTCTTTTGTCCTTCCCAGCTTTGAAACTACGTCACTCATAATGTAGTTTTCCGACCGAGGTGATTTCAAAATGTTTTTTTATGGATGGAACATTAGGAGCAATTTTTCTCTTCAGGAGAACCTTTTACATTAAGCTGCATTTAGCTGCACCCAGATCTTTCATATATGTCGGCGAACTTGCTCAGCATTCGATTTCCGTTATTCTATTCCAGTTTTCGCATAACTTTTTCATGAGTGGCACCGAAGTGTTAGCTGGATAGTATAAGTTTACTGGACCATTTGTCGAAATCAATGACCATATCGTTCTAATTCCGTTTTCGCTCGCTTCAATTTGCTATTTAAGTATGGACTGATGATCTTGATGGTCTAATGAATAATCATTGCTTGTTCACTTGAGAAGTTATGAGTAATCGATACTCCATAAGGATAGTTCGTGAGAATAAAGTAACTGCCATGATTACTTCTGTCCCGACTATACTGAAGTCTTTAATTCATAACGTCCGGTGTTGACACTACAGTGTGCATACGCTCATGGCACAGGGAAGATGTGAATACTATGCGTCCATTTCCAATTCAGAGGGTTCGAGAACCTTTTCATCACACTAAATATATTCATTCGATGAACGGATGATCCCCGCGCCCAAGACTCACCAAGCCTTCCGTCCCTGTGAGGTCGGTAAATTGGTATCAGATTTGTCTAGGTGGATAGCAACACTGGCTCGACACATCAGTAGGCTACCACGAGTCAATGTAAAGGTCAGATATGCATTCAGTCACCTATACCTCGGGGATTGATCAGCGCTGAGAGTTTTATCATTTTATCGTTTTATGTGTGTTCATTCGATAGCTAATCGAAAGCAGATCAAAATAAGGTAGGTGGGACCAAAAAAGCCATCCACTACGCTTAATAATTTGCAAGACACTTTTTTCCGAAATCGTTCACAGACCAGTAATTTGGCTAATAATTAGGTGTTATTCCATACCAGTCACTATGGTTTTTGTAAAGAATGTGCAAATATGAGGAACACCGAAATAAACTCGACAGCTATTATAACATACATACCATTCATAACCACAGGACGATAGAGCGGAGTCTTCTCTACAGTACTGTCATGGTCATAACATCTCAAGTCCTCTAGTTATCAGGAAATCACTGTTGAGTATTTAAAAAAACCAGAAAGTTCGTACCCAATGAGAAAATGTTTGTCTCATTAGACTATATGCGTTGAACGCTGCGCAGCGTTATGGTTATGAATTTAGTCAGAAAGATGTGCAGCTTTTCAGCTTAGACTGGAATAGTTGGCTGTGGCTGATACAACTTTATTCTGATGAAATCAAACAGGGTTTCTCGGAGACAGGATGTGCTTGGTGTCAGACACTGGGTTCCCAGCAGTGTTGGGTAAGCCGAATGGAAGTTACGGTATCGTGATGGTTGGGGGATTACTTTTTCAGGATTGCAAGATTAAAGCCTTTCTCATACATTCTTTTAGCGCTAACTTTGGACTTGAAATGACCAGTAATCTACCAAGCCGGTTATCTATCTCAATTCAGGAAATTGGTACTACAATCGTCCTGATTCAGCTCACACCCTCCATTTTACAAAAGCTGGCGATCCTTATCATGGAGACCTGAGATTGCTCTAGTACGGCAATCCCGCAATTTCAGAAAGGATCTACTCGACCATCATTTAATGACCTTCATAAAAATGACCACATCGTCAAACTACTGGACCTATACGTAAATCCGAAGGCTTTCGTGTAATATGGATTGAAAATGAATTGAGTGCAGGAACTACTAGCATCCGCATAACACGTGATGTAGGGTCTTGTGAAAATAAAAATATTAGGAAATGACTGCCTTATTGAATGCATAATTTTTGCAGTTGATCCCCAACTCCATACTCTAACCTTGTCTTCATTCTGGTTTTTTGTCAAAGAATAGACAACGAACATTGTCGAAACCGGGATCGGTTTTTTTCCAGTTGAGAATCCAGCTTTGGAGTGGGCAATCCAGAAAGTCGGTATTCATTGCAAAGATGTAGTTGACGAAGACGCCATCGCTGTCCATTCATTACCAATACTTGTTTCAGAGGAAAATTGTATGGTAACCATAAACGGCGCATAATTGACAGTGTTTCCTTTTTAGTCAGTCGATAATTCATGTTGATCTGACTAACCTCCGTTGTGAGGTTATGGACGGGGACTTCTAACGCCACTGCCATTTCTACAGATAGATACCGTCATCGAACGTTTTCCACAGTACTACACTTGGAAAAGTTTTGAGCTTACGGAGAAGATACTACCCTTTTCAGCGCTGTCGAAGGTTTTTGTGGATTGTGAAAACTGGGCTCTGTTTTTGAAATAGACGTGTTCTGAACTTTACCTTAGGAAGCATAAGGACTCATGGATGGCTTGTCGGCTTTCCCAGAGTAGAAGTGGAGATTATTTGTTGAAGGTAACTCCAAACTACCAGCTATGTATTTCTCAGTCGATTGCAAGATTTAACTCCTATTAAGTTCACGATACATTCTGCCCATATGGGAGCACACCACCGCTTCGCCTGTATGAGCTTGTGTTTCTATACAAAAAAGTATAAGTCAATCCCCATGACCGACTTTCTGTTAACCTCGGCATTAATTGATAATTCAATGTTTTTCATCAATAAGCAGACACGAGGTTGTTAATATAGAATTTATTAGAACACAATTGCTGACGTTTCGGCGGTTTCGCCTTCTTCAGAGCCGTTTATTTGTCGTAAGTATTTAAGTTAGTTGGTGGATAGCCGCCGCACAGAGTAATACATGGTCGATAACTGGGTCCTATTACTCTGTGCGGCGGCTATCCACCAACTAACTTAAATACTTACGACATATAAGTCAATCGTTAAATCCTTAACTTAATCCACTTCTATCTCGGACCAAATATCTTGAAGCCGAATATACGACTTGATCATTTTTTTTGTCCATGTTCCACGCTCGTGCAACACCGGAGGAACAGAAGAACTGCGCGGCGCCGCCAGCAAGGTTTTAAATATGTTGGAGGCAAATGGAGATTCATATTATCAGTCAACTAAATATTTTATCCTGGTATCTGCTAAGTGTCGTGTAAAATATCCCCGAGCAAACATTTTCGTTCAGAGAGGAGAACGTAGTTGTACCTGAATTGGTGAACGCTATCGTCGGTCTTCCTTCGACTTCTCATCCAGCGTTGCTTCTTACATCGGTGGATTTACTTGGCAGTGCTAGTGAGTGGCTGAGTAAAAATACATCCTATCTAGGTACGTTGGTTGTAGATGTTTTGTACTATTTTCTCTTTGTAGGATGGATTGTGTAATAAGTACCTTTTTGAATAACATAGTTTTTTTAGGAAAGGTTGTGGAATGGATCCTTCATTTAGCAGTTACACCGTCATTCGCAGCTCCAGCTGCTGAAGCAATAGACAAGGCGAGCAAAGAAAAAAGTGATTGAACTTTATTTGGGAAATAGCATCATCTACAGATCGTAGTAAGGTCATCATCGGAATTGCTGCATCTCATTCCACTACTGGTACAGCTTATTCCACATCTTGAATCATCTCACAGCCATGGAAAAAAGATGGAAGTAGCGATCTCAAGTTGCCTCAAAGGTTCCATTACGCCTTCCTTTGCCGTTTTTCTTTCGTTTATATGTTGATAAAAATACTTCTTTAAGCATGTACTATACTAATTATGAATCTTCCTGAAGCAGGGATTCGCCTACGCCTAAGTGAACTGTGTCAGCCAATAATTGAACGTTTACAAATGGTTCATTCTTTATATTATAATTTCTTCCTCTTAGGTGATTTAAGTCCATTGTGTTTATATAGGTCATATCTTCAACGCCAGTGATTGTTACAAACAATGAGAATGAGAAGGCTGCCGATTCGTGGGCGAGAATTGCGGGCGAGCCAGTACTGTGGATCGATCGTATTGCTACCATATTTCGAGAAGTTCGGCCGTGGAATGGCGGGAGCTTGGTAATTATAATTCTTATTATTGATAACTATCCATTATTGTGGTAATGTAATGTTAGGCGCCGTCGTATTTAAATTGAGGACTTCTAGAAAACTGTGAACAGCATTGCTTCTGATGCTGCTCCCTGGCTTGATATCGCAACGAAATTGTACGAAGTTCTGTCGGAGACACTTAAACGTTATGAAAGTACATCCAGAATTGTAGAGCACTGTTGTCGATCTATCAGGTACGAAGTAGTCTGATTGCAAAGTCGGAAATACTCAGACTAAAAAGATCTAGGTTTATTGTTCGGTCACTCGGTATGCAGTCGATTGGGTTTGTTGAGCCTTTGATCACACAGGTACGCCCACACATTTGAGTTTGTGATATCATTCGAAGTTCTTATGTGTAATATGGTCATATTAATCTCGATATTCTTGATGAGCAAACATTGGTCGAGTTATTTTTAGATGATGGATATTTTCTCACGACATCAGCACTCCTGCTTTCTTTACTTGTCTTCCATACTAGTCGATGAGTATGGTAGTATGGAGTCATTACAACCTGGTCTTATGATAATGCTTGAGGTACATTGGTTTTGAAACTTTCAGGAGGATTGAGATAATCTCTGTCATTAGTTATTCTTGATTACTCTGTCTTATCACTTCGATGCTGCTTTTGTTCTGTGAAATAGTTATTTTTTCTGAACTCCACCATGTTAGGGACATTCATTTCCCATGTCTGATGTATTACAGTCCCTCGCCCATGGAACTTTCACAGTGCTGACTTTGGAAAATGGGCCACGCGACCATCCAGATACTGTGGATGATTTATTCAGACTTGCAATGAGGTATATTTTTGAATTTAAAACGTTTTTATTTGTGTAGTTTGAAAAGTGGCAGTGATTATCGAAAAAAAAAACATTCCATGCTTTCTTGTTGGTAAGAGAAAGCGAAGAAAGCATGGCCTCGCTGAGCATTTCTTATCGTTATCACCGACTAAGTGTATTGGTTGATTGTTTCAGATGTTTAGTCAGGTTGTTCAATTTGAACAGAAGTTAGCAATCGCTGTGTTGTTGATAAGCATGTACAATGTTGTTATTTTATTCTTTATTAGTAAAAAAAACTCTAGAGAACAAGACCTCACCAGTGAGTTTGATAGCAAATTTCGAATATTGGCGGACAAAACACTCGAAGTCTTCAATCACTATTGCGCGAAGTTTTCTTTTGACCTCACAAAAACGCAAAAATGTGGCATGCAGAGGTTCGAGAGCTTTGGTGTTAAAAAAACATTTGATTATCTGTTAGTGGTAATGGTGGAGAGTTTCTAGTAACTGAGACCACAAAGAAGCACCGTGAAGATGTTCCTCTTTATCGGCCGTCATCTGAGAACGGATTCAAAAGTCGATACCGGAAATTGGACAACGAATGCCCCAAATCGCAAAAGCGGCTGGTTCCAATCCAGTTATTTCTTAACTCAAAGTTGACTTATTAACGTATCTCGTTTTATACTTATTTACCAAGACTCATAAGTTAGTGTCCACTGATTCCCTTGCGTCTACTATCCGTTATTGTTCAAGTTTAGACCCATAAGTTGTGTAGGCAGACCAACGGATACAGTAACTTGGTTCTTAACTCTAATTCTTACCAGATTGTTGAAACACACTATTCCTTCCTATGAACACCCAGATGTTCCTGGATCGTCTACGTAACGTGCGCTCCCGCAGTGCGTATGTGATATAGTCCTTCGACGTTACAGCGTATTATACAAACGTGTCGAATGACTCCGCTTTAGAAACCATCCTTGAACTCTTAATACAACACGAAGAAGCAGTAAACATGTGTGGCTTCACGATACAGCAGTTGGTGATACTCTTAAAAGAGCGGCTAAACTACTCAATCTTCAGATGGTGCTTTATGCTCTATATACTTGAAGTGGGAGCGTGTGGAGCAGTGGTTGGAGGCGCCCTGCAACACACGCATGGAATCGGTCCCTGCGCCCATGGCCCACCAAGCCTTCCATCCCTCCGTGGTCGGCAAATTGGTACCAGACTTGTCTGGGAGGATAGCAGCACTGGCTCAATACATAGGTGGGCCACTTCGAGTCATTCTAAAGGCCAGATATGCATTCAGTCACTTCCAAACGATTCTTAATGAAGTTGAATGCATGACGCATCCCTCAGGTATTGATCAACGCCAAGAACTTTATCCTTTTATCCTTTGTATATTTGGAGTATATTAATTTTGCCATCGAGCACAAATGTTTCGGAACACCATTAGAATTCTGATGTCAATTCTACTATGTTTTACTTTTCAAATACTGAACAGCTGCGAGACTGGGTGACATTCAATGGTTCTTTCTGCTTGCTGGTAAGTTAATAATTGAATGCGGAATGGAAATCATTCGTATATCCATCTTCGCTGCAGGAGTCGTCATCTAACTCCATTTTCATCCTTAGGAACCTGTTTTACTATGTTTTGCCCATTATTCCCATGCTATGACTTGCCTCAAAACCCGCTTTGAAATAAGTCAATCGAGAAATGATGTTTTCTCGTTTAGCAGGGAAGAAATCTATACCTCGGCAGGGACAGGAGAACACATGGCTACGTTCTTGCCAAATAGAGTTAGAAAGTGCCATGGTGCTTAAAGTCAGATGCTGTCGATGTCCCCTCTGTGTGCGGACGTGCCGGGCCGCTGTCATACTTTACATGGAGAAATGGAATGAATTTATTCTTGGCTGCTTGAGTTACTCAACCATTAACGGCATTACAAACTGATATAACTGAACACTGGGGATCACATTGTTGATGATAACACCTCCACTTGATGATCACCGACCGGGCTTTCTTCGCTCCCGTTTGAAAACGTGATCAGGTATGCAGTTACATTTAAAACTACTCTTTATCACCTCCGATTACGAGGTCCTTTCGTCAGGCGTAGATGTAGCATTACTGCTTTAAATTCCTTGCAAAAATATGAGAATTATGTAGGAGTTATTGGAGTTCTGTTGTAATAGAAGGTAGATTTCAAATCTTTCTAACCCTTTGAAACAAATGCCACAAACAAAATGCAATACATCAGCTTTTGCTTTTGGGGACGTATTCCGAAACACAACATTTATGGCACAGATTCGTCGTTCGTGCTCCATCTGCTTTCTTTGTACATCCCGTTGCAACAGCGTTATTCGAATGTGCAATGGTGTGCCTGTCGTTGGACCACCAGGAAGCAAACCGATCTGTTACACGATTCTTTGTTTCCATCATAGAGCAACTTCTTTCCGCTAGAAAGGTGTTTAAATAATGTTGTGTCTCCAATCCGTTAATTTGTTTCCTGCTTATCTATGATAGCAAAACGTTAATAGGCTGGTTTTCGGGACACTGGAGTCATAGCTGCAGAGGATCTCGTCATTGTTCATGGTGCAAAACTCACGGAACTTTGTTTGCAGGCAGCTATTTTCCAGGCTAGTGAATATCTTTTGCAAACTTTATGAAGGTTTAATGTAAGTTCTGGACATAATTTCCTGGTGCTTGAAGATCTTGTGCTACACCAAATCTTACATTTTTTATGAAGATCATTTATTGTATAGGTGTCTGGCTCACTGCGACGGGACCAGGCTGAAATCGTATACATGCTAAGCAAAATAGATAGAGGTGTAAGTATCGCATATATTTGGTGTCTTTATATTACTTCTGTCTTGCTGTCCTAATGTATTATGGAAGTGTATAACTTATTAAGCGACACAAAGAGTGGCTGATAACGGCGACATCTCATTTGCCACGTGGACCACTGGCTGCAACGGATGAACAGCTTGAGCAATTTGTCGCAAACATCACAGCAGAGTAAGTAAATTCGTGTAGACTTTTTCGCATTTTTCCGCCAACACACACTGATCACAACCACAATGATGCTGAGATATTTGTAAATCTCCGGACCGCGGGTACCTGCGGCAAAGATCGAACACGCTATTACCCTTTCTAGAGGCTAACACGTTCACTACTACACCATGAGTATCCTTCGCTTCGTCTTTGTCTCAGCCATGTTTCTGCAGTTATAAACAAGCTAACAATTTTCTATGGTTATGGTTACAAACACGACTGAGAGAAAGGCGAAAAGAGGAACCGTATGGTGTGGTGGTGAATGCATTAGCCGCCGGAAAGGACAATAGCGTGTTCGATCCTCACCGCAGATACCTGCGGTCCGGAGTTTTGCAAATATCTCAGTATCACTGTGGTTGTTTCACAAATAATATCCTGCTGTGAAAACTTGTAAAAGGCACTAAGTAATGAAGTTAGAGTTGTGGTTTCAAACCGATCAGTTTATTTCTTATAGAGAAACTTTAAGATAAATGATTGTTTTCAGTCCCCAGCGAATATCAATGAGCGAGGTGTACGCGCAAATTCGTGATTTAATAAGGCTCTATGAATAGCTTAATAATGGATTATTATTATTTTCGGCCTATAATTTGTTTGACGTTATTTGCATTTCCGTTGTGCTGTCGTATTTTCATTTGCGTACTAGATCAATCCTGGGAATGCATATTCATAATAGGAGTGCGGGCTATTGTAAATACATTTAGGGTTAAAGCTATTGGGCCGCACAACATTGTTATATTGTCGCTCAAAATAGATCATCATTAAATGTGGTGAGGGTCATGTACGTCATGTAGTTGAGCGCGACTTGCTCTTGCAAGCAGCTTATGCACATGATTTTCTTTTTTCTTTCAGTTCATACTGTTCCTTCTATGCACTTAATCTTTATTCATTACTTTACGGGCACATTGCTGACAGGAAACTTATTACATGTTTTTCGTACAATTCTTTCATGTTAAGCTTTTTAGTCACTGGCTTCCTAGCAATTACAACTAGTATTGGTCCCGCAATTACAACTAGTATTGGTCCCTAACTTGTTTCTGTGTGATTATCAATATTTCATATTGTTTATTGTTATATCTGGTATTCTGGTTGATGGAGAAGCATTTTATCCATGGATTTCCAAAATACCAGTTCTTTCGTGTTGTTCAGAGTAATTTCTTCGATTTTTTCTCCGTTACTTTCTGACTATTTTTACGAATATCTTGCTTTGGTGACAATTTTATACAAGGCTTATAAATATTAACGCTAACTTTTCAGCTTTTTGCACCGTCTTCAAACCAGTGGTCGATTACTTGTAGGATTCCGTACCGTCATAGGAATTGCTGTCACTCTCGAAGGATCCAAGTCGCAAGGCAGCAAACTGTGCTTCAATCCATAAAGCCCCGAAGCTAACTTTATCGGAGATGTGAGAAGGCCCGAAATAGGTTCCCTCAGGTTTCGAGAGGAAATAAAGCATGATGATGAGAGAAACACAAAGCCACATTCCGAATCCATTATAACATTAAAGCTCCACAACCTACGCGGACGTCGGTTGCGAGACGCCGGAACGAATGGAAGTGGTGGGACCCACGCAACATCTGAAGACGGCTCATCTAAGTTTATAAGTAACGTTTCAGTGCTCTCACTTTTTCAAGAACGGGAATGGTTGTAGTCGAGTGTCCACTGGAATAATTTCTTTCGATGTTGTAGTTTTTATAGGCACAAGGAATCGAGTAGGGTGGAATATTGCATCTTTCAGAAGTTATTTAAAATTCATGCGATGCTCCATTCCGTGCTAGTCCAGTCGTTAACTACAAGTAACTTTTATGATGGCCTGGATTACCAAACCCACTCCTATGAAGATTATCTTAGGAGTACTACTTTTGCAAAGAGGGGATCAGAAATTCGGGCCTACGTCAACGACCGAATATCGGAGGCAGTGTGCAATGTAGTATGAATCAGGTGGCTCGAACATTTGCTGTGTCTTAATGACGTACGATGGACAACAGCGCTTAGCGTTCAAAAATGGCGCTGCTTTGCATCACGCAGCATTGAACTGGCGAACAGTTGATGCCAGAATTTATGCCTTTTTCAGGAACGTACGCTTCTCTTTAGGCGTAGTAATAAAGATTCTGATCGCGTGCAAAGTCCTGGTCCCAACTGTTCCGGGTTGCTCCCACCTCTAATCCCTATCGGGTCGAAGAATTGTTGTCGGACACCGGACTTGTCTTGGAGGGACCCTCCGACTCGGTGACTGGTGACTGTATTCTATCATTCCAGGGGGATCAACTTGACTAGCATTTCAAGGAAAATGGCAAAGCTGGGACGTTAGACCAAATCTAGCCCGCGATTACCTTTTCCGTAGGTGCATGTGTCACTCCAACGCACTACTGAAGCCTTCGTTCTGACTTCCTGTCAGCGTCTTCTATCCTAACGGTGCCATCAACAATCGCCCGTCAACGGGAATGATCTGGTGGAATTCAAGGGCATTTATGAAGACGACAAAAACGTTCGAGCAGCAGTTGAATCCATTTCAAATGCGTACACCTCAGTACATGAAAGATGCAAGGAAATTACCCGAATAAAAGAAATGAGGAGATCGGCACAGCATATGAAGATGGGTCATGTGAATTAGAAAACTCCACAACGCATGCATTTGTTCGCAGCTCCTCTCTATCTCTTCGGAATCCTAGTGTGTACTTCCTTATAATTTGCATCTCAGACATGTAAGCTCTACGAGGAAAAAGGAAAGAACAACTTTTTCGGTAATACGGTGGTAATTCTGAATATCGGTAAGCGATTTCGTAAAACCTGGGCTAACTAATTGTTTTTATATTTAGGTAATGTTCACTACATAGTGTTTCCTGAGAAACGATGGGAACCACTTCCATCTGCGAGCCCCCGTCGTGCACTAGCGGATCACGTTTCCTCCCAACGGTATACCGCCTCATCGTGGTTCGGATGTGTTCCTGGGTGTCGGGATGCGATGTATAGCGGGAGATTCATCCCCTAGCAGGGTCTCCCAGGCTGAGAAAAAGTCCGGTGTTTCCATCAGGAAACCTAGCTAAGAGTAAACCAATGCCAAGATTCACCACCGTCCTGGTATGTAACGAAATGGTTAGCGGCGGAGTGTAGCGGTTCAGATTGATGTAGAATATTAGCCACGCGGGTTTTTTAGTTGTTTTAGTTGATCTACCAGCCTCAAACTTTGGTAATTAAAGCTTTAATACATCAATACAACACTAATTTCATAATAGTAACGATAGAGAAGTAATGGTAGAGGAATGAGACAAGTTAGAGCTCTGAGGTGCTGAGGCGTGTAGTGAAGTGAGGCTAACAATGAAGCAATGGCATTCAAACATTTATACCATTAATACAATATTAACAATAATAATGAGATTTCAACGAAGTAGGCTTTGGTTAGCCGTAAGCGGCCGGTGCGGCGGTTGAGGGAGACAGTATGCTGAGGTGGTGAGGGTTACAGACTGGCTGTGTTTCGGCCAAGCTAAGATTTCAACATTATAGCGATGAGAAGCATTTTAGTGGATCGATGAGAATTGTAAGTTACATGAGCGTTGACGGTGCTATGAACAGTGAATGATGAGTCATCTACGGAACACAGGCGGCTGGTCGTGAATAACGCTATGTCAGCAAAGTGAACTTTGAGCATCGATGGGTGCCACCATTTCCTAAGGGTAAGGGCCAGTATGATGAATGGCTACAAAACTGATAAGCCTATAGCGGCTTAGCAGAATACATAGCATAAGTTGGCCGCTTAGCGGCATTGTACACATTGCGTGTACATTGTGGGAGGAATGGTACATGCCACCGATGGCGTTGCAAACAGAACGCATTTGGTAACACCCGCCACTACTGACATCGCACCGTAGACAAGCTGAGAAACGAGATACAATAATCTACTGATTGCTGAATGATGAATGAGAATGTGAGAATGAATGTGTTTAAACAAGAATGAATGACTATGACTAAGAATGAGTTGAGGTGATTGAGGATGATTGAGGATGTGGTTGTGAGAAGCGGATTATCCACGCTACCGATCGGGGGTAAGGTGAGTGATGGCATGTCTCCGCCGTCGAAGGCACCTGGCTTATATCGGCTGCGGAAGCCGCGTGCGTATGCAGCCGCGGTTAATCTGGATTGTTGCTGGACTGCGATATACTGTAATTAACTGCCTGAAACACTAAACGTCATTAGCTTCGTTGTTTCGCAAGGAAGTAGTAACCTGTTCCACTGTTACTCCTCCTTCGGATAAGCTATCGTCGGTATGCTACTGAAGTTAAACCTGAATCGCTATTGTGCCTGAAACACTGAACATAATTGATCGAGAAGATTACGAAGGTTACATTGCGGTGTTTGATGTGCGACTGCGAGGGGGCCATATTTGGACATCAAATATTATTACTTAGATAGATAGAGAACTTTTCAAGAGAGAAGTTCTCTATATGGTATCAAACTAGTCATATGGTGACAAATCTCCCTCCGATCAACAAGGGCGGCGACTACCTGTGATGGTGGCGATCAAGGGCAGACTTTGACCAAGCTGACTTCGTCGGAACTCCAGGGAAACACGATGGCTAAACCATCAAAGGCTAAACCACCATCAAACCCTCGGAAAAAT